TACAGAGATACAGTGTGCAGACTGATGTTGTCAAAATATCTTAACTTGCCTATTGTTCTCGTTATATGTCCCTCGAAGTCGTCTTATATGGTCAGTTCGATCGTATCTGCTATAGTTGTAGGCATGTCAGATGCTAGAATGCGGAGTAACAGTGTAAGCATAGTCGGGGTCGAAGTTACTTGTTCTGCCTGTTGTGTGCGTTCTACCCGCTTCGATTTCGTTTTATATGATCGTTGCGAACATATATGCTACAGAGGTATCCATGTGAGATGATACAATACAGATATACAGTGTGCAAACTGATGTTGTCGAAGTATCTCCACTTGCCTATTGTTCTCGTTATATGTCCTCTGAAGTCGTCCTATATGGTCAGTGCGATCGTATCTGCTATAACTGTAGGCATGTCAGATGCTAGAATGCAAAGTTACAGTGTAAATATAGTCGAAGTCGGAGTTTCTTGTTCTGCCTGTTGTGTGCGTTATACCCGTTTTGATGTCGTCTCATATGATCGATGCGAACTGATATGCTCCAGAGGTATCTATGTGAGATTATTAAATACAGAGATACAGTGTGCAGACTGATGTCGAAGTATCCTCACTTGCCTATTAATCTCGTTATATGTCCTTCAAAGTCTTTCTATATGGTCAATGCGATCGTATCTGTTTCAACTGTAGGCATGTCAGATGCTTGAATTCAGAGCCACAGTGTGAACATATTCGAAGTTTCTTGTTCTCTCTGTTTCATGCGTTATTCCCGTTTTGATGTCTCAAATGATCGTTGCGAACTGATATGCTCCAAAGGTATCAATGTGAGATGATGGAATACAGATATACAGTGTGCAGACTGATGTTGTCGAAGTGTGTTCATTTGCCTCTTGTTCTCGTTATAAGTCCTCTTCAAAATCATCTCATATGGTCAGTGCAATCGCATCTGCTATAACTGTAGGCATGTCAGAAGCTTGAATGCGAAGTTACATTGTAGACATAGTCGAAGTCGAAGTTTCTTGTTCTGCCTGTTGTGTGCGTTATTCCTGTTTTGATGTCGTCTCATGAAATATGATCGTTGCGAACTACCATGCTACAAAGGTATTCATGTGAAATGTTACAATATTGAGATACAGTGTGCAGACTGATGTCGAAGTATCTTCACTTGTCAATTGTTCACGTTATATGTCCCTCGAAGTCGTCTTATATGGTCAGTGCGATCGTATCTGCTATAGCTGTATAAGTATAGTCGGGGTCGAAGTTTCTTGTTCTGCCTGTTGTGTGCGTTATACCTGTTCGATGTCTTTTCATATAATAGTTGCGAACTCATATGCTCCAGAGATATCCATGTGAGATGATAGAATACAGAGAAACGGTATGCGTACTAATGTTGTCGAAGTATCTTCACTCGCCTATTGTTATAGTTGTATGTCCTTCGAATTCGTCCTATATGGTCAGTGCAATCGTATCTGCAATTACTGTAGGCATGTCGGATGCTAGAATGCGAAGTTATAGTGTAAACATGGTCGGAGTCGAAGTTCCTTGCTCTCCCTGTTATAAGCGTTATTTTGATTCAGGAAACACTAGACAATGTCTACCTATAAGATGTATAACCGACTTATTATCAAGATTGATAAATTCGAAGTTTTGGCGAACACGCCGGTTTACCGACTCTTGATTGTTGGAATCGAAGATTTTGGTGGATATGAAAAAGTATAGTACTCCACTCACATATGATGGGCTGTCATATTATATACTTCTTGAATGGGCATTCAAGATGCTAGAATGCAAAGTTACGGAGTATACATAGTCGAAGTCGAACTTTCTTGTTCGGCCTATTGTGTACGTTATACCCGCTTCGATGTAGTCTCATATGATCGTTGCGAACATATATGCCCCAGAGGTATCCATGTGGGAAGATAAAACACAGAGATACAGTGTGCAGACTGATGTTGTCGAAGTATCTCCACTTGCCTATTGTTCTCGTTATATGTCCTTCGAAGTCGTCTTATATGGTCATTGCGATCGTATCTGCTATAGCTCTAGGCATGTCCGATGCTAGAATGCAGAGGTACAGTGTAAACATAGTCGAAATCAGAGTTTCATGTTCTGCCTGTTATGTTCGTTATCCTCGCTTCGATGTCGTCTCATAGGATCGTTGCGAACTGATATGCTCCAAAGGTTTCCATGTGAGATGATGAAATACAGAGAAACAGTGTGCAGACTAATGTTGTCGAAGTATCCTCACTTGCCTAATGTTCTCGTAATATTTCCTTCGAAGTCGTCTGATATGGTCGTATCTATAGTATCTCTGCATTCTTTCATCTCACATGGATACCTTTGGAGCATATCAGTTAGCAACGATCCTATGAGACGACATCGAAGCGAGGATAACGCACATAACAGGCAGAACATGAAACTTTAACTTCGACTATGTTTACACTGTACCTCTGCATTCTAGCATCTGACATGCCTAGAGCTATAGCAGATACGATCGCACTGATCATATAAGACGACTTCGAAGGACATATAACGAGAACAATAGGCAGGTGGAGATACTTCGACAACATCATTCTGCACACTTTATCTTTGTGTTCCATCATCTCACATGGATACCTCTGGGGCATATATGTTCGGAACGATCATATGAGACGACATCGAAGCGGGCATAACTTACACAACAGGAAGAACATCAAACTTCGACTGCGACTTTGTTCACACTGAAACTCTTCATTCTAGCATCTGACATGCCTACAGCTATAGCACATTCGATCGCACTGACCATATAAGACGTCTTCGAAGGACATATAACGAGAACAATAGGCAAGTGAAGATACTTCGACAACATCAGTCTGCACACTGTATCCCTGTATTCTATCATCTCACATGGATACCTTTGGAGCATTGTAGTTCGCAACGATTATATGAGTTGACATCGAATCGTGTATAAAACACAAAACAGGCAGAACAAGAAACTTTGACTTCGACTATGTTCACACTGTAACTTTGCATTCTAGCATCTGACATGCCTACAGTTATAGCAGATGAGATCGCAATGACCATATAAGACGACTTTGAAGGACTTATAACGAGAACAATAGGCAAGTGAAGATACTTCGACAATATCAGGCCGCACACTGTATCTCTGTATTCTATCATATCACATGGATACCTTTTGAGCATATCAGTTCTCAACGATCATATGAGACGACATAAAATCGAACACAACAGGCAGAAACTTCGACTTCGACTTTGTTTACACTGTGGCTCTGAATTCTAGCATCTGACATGCCTACAGTTGAAACAGATACGATCGCACTGACCATATAGAAATACTCTGGAGGACAAGGCAAGTGCGGAGACTTCGACAACATCAGTCTGCACACTGTATCTCTGTATTTTATCATCTCACATAGATACCTCTGGAGCATATCAGTTCGCATCGATCATATGAGACGACATCAAAACGGGTAGAACGCACACAACAGGCAGAACAAGAAACTTCGACTTCGACTATATTTACACTGTAACTTTGCATTCTAGCATTCGACATGCCTACAGTTATAGGAGATACGATCCAACTGACCATATAGGACGACTTCAAAGGACATATAACGAGAACAATAAGCAAGTAAAGATACTTCGACAACATCAGTCTGCACACTGTATCGCTGTATTCTATCATCTCACATAGATACCTCTGGAGCATATATGATCGCAACGATCATATAAGACGACATCCAAGCGAGTATAACGCACACAACAGGAAGAACAAGAAACTTCGACTCCGACTATGTTTACACTGAAACTCCGATTTCTAGCATTTGACATGCCTGGAGCTTCGAAGAACATATAACGAGAACAATAGGCAAGTGGAGATACTTCGACATCAGTCCGCACACCGTATCTCTGTATTCTATCATCTCACATAGATACCTCTAGAGCATATGAGTTCGCAAATATATAAGACGACATCGACGCGGGTATAACGCACACAATAAGCAGAACAAGAAACTTCGACTTCGACTATGTTTACACTGTAACTTTGCACTCTAGCATCAGACATGCCTACAGTTATAGCAAATACGATCGCACTGACCATATAAGACGACTTTGAAGGACTCATGATGAGAACAAAAAGCGAGTGAAGATACTTCGGAAACTTCAGTCCGCACACATATGCTCCGAAAGTATCCATGTGAGATGATAAAATACAGAGATACAGTGTGCAGACTAATGTTGTCGAAGTATCCTCACTCGCCTAATGTTCTCGTGATATGTCCTTCGAAGTCGTCTTTTATGGTCAGTGCGATCGTATCTGCAATAGCTCTAGGCATGTCAGATGCTAGAATGCAGAGGTACAGTGCAAACATAGTCGGAGTCGAATTTTCTTGTTCTGCCTGTTGTGTGCGTTATACCCGCTTCGATGTCGTCTCGTATGATCGTTGCGAACTAATATGCTCCAAAGGTATCCATGTGAGATGATAGAATACAGAGATACAGTGTGCGGACTGAAGTTTTCGAAGTATCTTCACTTGCTTTTTGTTCTCATCATGAGTCCTTCAAAGTCGTCTTATATGGTCAGTGCGATCGTATTTGCAATTATTGTAGGCATGTCAGATGCTAGAATGCGAAGTTACGGTGTAAACATAGTCGATGTCGAAGTTTCTTGTTCTCCCTGTTGTAAGCGATATTTTGAATCAGGAAACACTTGACAATGTTTACCTATAAGATGTATAACAGACTTATTATTAAGATTGTCAAATCCGAAGTTTTGGCGAACGCGCCGGTTTACCGACTCTTGATTGTTGGAATCGAGGTTTTAAGTAGATATGAAAAAGTATAGTACTCCACTCGCATATAATGAGCTGTTATATATACTCCTTGAATGGGCATTTGAGATGCTAGAATGCAAAGGTACATAGTAAACATAGTCGAAGTTGAAGTTTCTCGTTCTGCATGTTGTGTGCGTTATACCCGCTTCGATGTCGTCTCATATGATCGTTGCGAACTTATATGCTCCTGAGGTATCTATGTGAGATGATAGAATACAGAGATACAGTGTGCAGACTGATGTTGTCGAAGTATCTTCACTTGCCTATTGTTCTCGTTATAAGTCCTTCAAAGTCGTCTCATATCAGTGCGATCGTCAGATTCTGGAATGCAATGTTACAGAGTAATCATGGTCGAAATCAAGGTTTCTTGTTCTGCCTGTTGTGTGCGTTATACCCGATTCGATGTCAACTCATATGATCGTAGCGAACTACCATGCTCCAAAGGTATCTATGTGTGTTGATAGAATACAGAGATACAGTGTGCAGACTGATGTTGTCAAAGTATCTTCACTCGCCTATTGTTCTTGTTATATGTCCTTCGAAGTCGTCATATATGGTCAGTGCGATCGTACCTGCTATTGTTGTAGGCATTTCAGATGTGAGAATGCGGAGTTACAGTGTAAGGGTAGTCGGAGTCGAAGTTTCTTGTTCTGCTTGTTGTGTGCGTTATACCCGCTTCGATGTCGTCTTATATGATCGTTGCGAACATATATGCTTCAGAGGTATCTATTTGGGATGAAAGAATACAGAGATGCGAGAATTCGAAGTTACGGTGTAAACATAGTCGAAGCCGAAGTTTCTTGTTCTCCCTGTTGTAAGCGTTATCTTGATCCAGGATACACTAAACAATGCCTACCTATAAGATGTATAACCGACTTATTATCAGGATTGATAAATTCGAAGTTTTGGCGAACACGCCGGTTCACCGACTCTTGATTGTTGGAATCGATGTTTTTAGTAGATATGAAAAAGTAAAGTACTCCACTCGCATATAATGAGCTGTCATATATACTCCTTGAACTGGCATTCGAGATGCTAGAATGCAAAGTTACAAAGTAAACATAGTCGAAGTCGAAGTTTCTTGTTCTGCCTGTTGTGTGCGTTATACCCGCTTCGATGTCGTCTCATATGACCGTTGCGAATTATTATGCTCCAGAGGTATCTATGTGAGATGATAGGATACAGAGATACAGTGTGCAGACTGATGTTGTCGAAGTTTCTCACTTGCCTATTGTTCTCGTCATATGTCTTTCGAAGTCGTCCTATATGGTCAGTGCGATCAAATCTGCTATAACAGTAGGCATGTCAGATGCTAGAATGCAAAGTTACAATGTAAACATAGTCGAAATCGAAGTTACTTGTTCTGCCTGTTGTGTGCGTTATACCCGTTTTGATGTCGTCTCATATGATCGATGCGAACTGATATGCTCCACAGAAATTCATGTGAGGTGATGGAGTACAGAGATACAGTGAGCAGACTGATGTTTTCGAAGTATCTACACTTGCCTATCGTACTCGTTATATGTCCTTCGAAGTCGTCTTATATAGTCAGTGCGATCGTATCTACTATAGCTGTAGGCATGTCAGATTCTAGAATGTGAAGTTACAGTGTGAACATATACGAAGTCAAAGTTTTTTTTCTGCCTATTGTGTGAGTTATAACCGTTTCGATGTCGTCTTATATGATCGTTGCGACCTAACATGCTTCGGAGGTATCTATGTGGGATAATAGAATACAGAGATACAGTGTGCAGAATGATGTTTTCGAAGTATCCTCACTTGCCTTTAAATGTCGTTATATGTCCTTCACAGTATTTCTGTATGGTCAGTGTGATCGTATCTGTTCCAACTATAGGCATGTCAGATGCTAGAATTCAGAGCCACAGTGTAAACATAGTCGATGCGAAGTTTCTTGTTCTCCCTTGTAACGTTCATTTTTAGCTATCGTACCTTTTTGATGAATTAATTCACTGATTCTGCGAAGATTTAGAACTTCAACATCTATTGCCTATTACTTGGTGAAATTCTAACATCGGGTCTCTCGATATACCAAGTCAACTTCTGCACAACTGTATCATATCATCCTCTTGTTGTACATAAATTACATAGATACCTGCCTAGACCTCGGTACCATAACTTGATTCCTAGTACTCGAGTCTGTTTATTTCCATATCTGCTGCTATCTTTAATCGTGAATTAGCAGTCACCACCATCTGTATTCAGTCTCCTAAAAGGAGAGAACTCAACCATAAGGTATACGTATGGTATAATTAATTAACACTCTGTACTTACTGTTATTTCAAACAGATTCATTTTAGGGAATCATATTTTGTATTTAAGATTTATTTTTGTTTAGGCTGTCATCAGGTATGGTGTTTACATTTCGCTGTCATTATTAGTAGTAGTATGATCAGCTTTTTCACTGTTCGGTCGTTGAAATGCTGTGTTCGGAATATCAGACACTACTCTCGACAGAACAGGACCGTTCCGTTGTGCGCGCGCTGGACCAAACTCAGGGTGATTTGAATAACCGAATGAACGGGTTTCTACTGGTGATAGTGGTGGAACTTGGTACCTAGATAGTGCACGTTTGGTGCAATTGAGTGATGTACCTGGTACTAGAGCTAAGGGAAATTTATCAACTTGGTTACACTGGATGTCAGGTTTTTTTTGTACAGTGAGTTATAATAAAACTGGGGGATAGATTCCATGTTCTGGTACCCGTTGCGCTGCATTCGAGTTCCGACTGTTCAGTACCCTGTTCTGATGACGTCATCATGGGTATAGTACCTCCTGGATTATTTACTGGTAAATATCCTTCCACTACTCTTCTACATCTAAAGATCATTCCAACTAAGAATGGATATATACCCAGATATTGGTTAGGCAGTACGGTTCCTGTCATGTTCTGTGTGTTCTGAGATTTCTGTCCTTGTTCGGGTATGTCATGTACTTCCATGGTTTTGTGGATCCGAGATGATCAATGAAAGCTGTCACTTTTATGTCCTGGGCAATGAGCAAGTGAAATGGCTGTAAGCCAATAATATTGAATTTTTCATTCATCCTCGAAATGAGGGATTAGATTTCACTCTCAATTTCCAGTTTCCATGTAGGAAATTTTGAGGTATCGTTGTGGTATATATTTTCGGAAACTGTCCATTATTATGGGATTTTGAAGCCTTGGCAAAAAAAGTGAGGTGGGAAGCACATGAACCGAAAACCCTTTTCTAAAGGAATAAGGTAAATCGAGCTGATAATTCAATCAATTGACCAGTATTTTGATGATTGAAACACTTTCCAGAGCGGTACATAGTTGAATCGTTGATCGAATCGATAGATTTGGAGATTGATGCCTGATGGGCCCCCTCAGGTGAAATGACATTGTAGACATATATTGTTGAGTCTTGGGTGATAGTGTGTCCTTAGAAAAGGTATGAACCTCCAGAACTTTGGAGTCAGTGAATAAGAATTTCTCTCATGTTTCAGGGTTTTTTTTATGTGCTGCAGTTGTCTTCTGACATTTTTGTGGTGACCTGTCTTAGGGTCTGCATATTTGAAGTATAGCAGCTTGTGCATTTCCTGCTTATGCTACAATGGCTGGTATCTGGAGCTGTATCTGATGATCTGTATCTGGAGCTGTATCTGATGGTCTGTATCTGGAGCTGTATCTGATGGTCTGTATCTGGAGCTGTATCTGATGGTCTGTATCTGGAGCTGTTTCTGGAGTTGCATCTGAAGCTGTAGCTGTATCTGAAGCAATAGCTGTAGCAGAAATCAAGCCTGTGATTGGGCTATGGATGTCACGCAAGTTTTCATAACATTATGCCAACTTCTCATAGTTTTTTTTTGTCTATTTCTATGATATTATTATGATGAATTTTATTATGATTTTCATGATATACCCCTGTTAACGTAACAGGCACGGTTGCAACCTTGCGGTTTACGGATTTAGGTATATGAACTGGGTAGGTCATATGACTTTGCATTACTTATAAAATAGCATAGGCATTGCTATGAATTCATGAACATTCATTTTCTGGGTGGGTTTTATGTGGATTTTAAGGGTACGGGATAAGAACTGGGATTTAAATATTTATTTATTTTATTTATTTATCAACGGACAAGCCAATTATACCATTACAAAAGATTGTACAATATATATATTTTACAGATGACTAAGATTATATCAAAACTAAAAATTAAAACTATTACAATTTTTTAACTGCTTTTCTAAAGGATAGTAAAGATGAACCGAACAGCTCAAGCTTGTTGTTGTGAGTGTTTGCTGACTTCAGTATTCTGTTAAGGGATTCGTTTTGACCATGATTTGTTCTACAAAAAGGGATCTTGAAAATGTCACTATTTCTACTTCTTCTAGCATTTACAGAAAGTGAGGTAAGCTTAACAATTTCAGGATAATCAATACTGCCATTGATAATTTTATGGAGGAATATCAGGTCGATTTCAAGTCTTCTATGTGTTAAAGTATTCAAATTTAGGGTTTTTTGAATTTGTGAATAATTATATTCATCTCTATTCATTCCTAAGTTGTATCCACAGTATCTCAAAAATTTATTTTGAGTACTCTCCAAGAGTTCCATGTCGACTCTATAGCATGGTGACCAAATGATAGAAGAGTATTCAAGAATAGATCTGACTTGGGCACAATAGATAATCTTGAGAGCATTGACAGATAGTTCTCTTGCAGAACGAAGAGAAAAGCCCAGCATTTTTTTGAACGAGATGAAATTTCTGTCATGTGACTCTTGAAAGTCATTTTTGTGTCGAATATAACCCCCAAATCTTTAATCTTGTTGGTCTCAGATAAGTTTGTGTCATTAATCTGATAAGCATAATTGATTGCCTCCTTATTTCGTGAAAAACTAATTTTTTGACATTTACCCAAGTTTAGTTTTAGTAAGTTAAGTAGTTAAAACTAAGAGAGCATGACTACCAGCATAGGGAAATACATGCTTTAATCTTAACTGGAACGCGGCCTGTGTTCTAGCGGGGAAGCGGGGTAGCGGGAGCGCGAGCTTATCGAAACCGCAACAAATAACACTTTAATGACAATAACAAGATGGTGACGACATCATCATCATCATGATGAATTTTTAAATAAATAAATTAAAAAAAGCTGTCACCGCTGGGGGAAATTGAACCAGGGACCTTTGCATTATGATGCAGCGTAT